CCTCCCCGAAAAATGAACATGGTCCAGGACCTTCCCAGTGACCTTTTTGGGGTCCCTAAGTGACCTTTTACAAGCCTGTTCGTGACCTCAAACCAGGGGATCAAGTTCGGTCACTGGGAAGATCCAGGGTGGTGTATCCTTCATTCAGTGGCGAAAGGGAAGGCTTCATTCATTGTCGGTCGATGTTTTTGGAGCACCACACGGATGGCTGGTCACCAGTGCCCCACATGGGGCCACGGGTTTTGTTCAGGTCAATGTCCAGGAAACACTTCGTGATCGGATGGCGGACGGTGGCTATTCCCACGAAAAGCGGATCACCTACCTAGGCGAGGCATGGGGACACCCCACTCAACGTTGAAACAGGCCAGAGAGTCGAAAGGCTGGACAGCTCAGCCCAAGAGGGTGTTCGGTCGGTTGACCTGGATTGGTCCAGGGAAACAGCGCGGTGGGGGGTCAGTGTTCTCAAGGGATGTCTATCTACTGGATGCACAAAGAGGATCAAACCGCTGAATTCGATGTTTTTTCCAGATCAGGCTTTCTTCAGGGTCGTTGAAACCAACTCAGTCCAACACAACTTGTGGAAGAACTCCCCAGTATTCCCCAGTTGTTTGACTGCCAGACTGCTTACCAAAAGATGAGTAACTAACTAATGCAAATGTGCTCGCCTGGACACCCCGAGACGGTTCCTGGGACGTGTTGACTGATTCCTGAAGAAAAACATGCCTTGGTCAACACATCACAACAGTTGAGCCAGGGTGAGTAACATGGAAGTTGAAGTCAAGAGCAGTGTCATAACCATCAGACCATAGAAGCTTGACCATCCCTGGTAGTCTCTTTTCTTCATTTGAGGTGGTTGACCACCAAGGTCTCCCCACGAAACTGACTCATAGCTTAGTGGCGATCCCCAAACACAACTTAGTTGTTGACGATACAGATTTGTTTAGGACCTATTGGGATGATATTGCAGGTACCCACCACATCGGACAAAAAGGCCACAAGGTCAAGCGGGCAGTTGCAGCCAAACACACGTTGACCTGGCTTACTTTGACATTTGGGAACACTGATGGATCAAGTTGAGTTGTTTGACCTCTCTCCATGGCCTGGTACTTTTGTAACTGGTTGAGCTACTGTATCCATTTGAAAATCAAGATCTACTAGCATCGCACACTCAAGGGTCCATGGTCTGAGCACTGGCTGGTGCCCTCCAACTGCTTCCTCAGGTAGAAGTTCAGGCAAGTACCTGCTTGGGAAGTATATTGGAGCCATGGATAGCCATGGGGGATTTCATCTGGGGCGATCGGACGATCGAAGTTTCGCCATCCAAGGAATAGCCTTGCGCGGCGTGAGCCCACTGAAGAGGTGCCATTGGCCTCATTCTTGCGGGGAGAGAGAAGGGTGTACTCCACTCAGGCTAGCGGCTAGCATTTGACCCCACCTGGAAGAGGAAAAGCATGGAACCAAATCTTTTGTTCATGAGAACATAGCTGAAAATAGCCACGCACCACCTTCCCTGGCGAAAAAGGAGGTTGTCGTGTTTGGCCCTTAAGGGTGATTGAGTCAGGCCTCATACAGACCCAACTCTCTATACCTTTCGAGAAGTTATCCACGTGGACCGATTAGACCACAGCAACGTGGGGGATCCACAACAAGCATTGGTCTAGGTGCAGTGTCCCTAAAATGGAAGAGCTGAGCGACTCTGAGGCTCTCAGAGCCTGGAGCAGTCCCCTTGGAAGCCCAGTTTCTTTATACAAACAGGCTGCAACAAATGCAAATGCAACTTTGTTTTGTTTGTTTGTGTGTGTAGGCTTCGGAATCCGTTCACCTAGTTTCCGTTTACCTAGCCAATGATGGGATCAAATCCGAGGACCAAGGACCTGGACGGGTCTAAAAAAAGACCACCTCGAAGACGTGTGTGACGATTTTGTTGTGACTGGTACCTCGACATGCCCATCTGTTTGGAAGCTCGGGACCCAGGCCATCTTAGCCCTCCGGGTTTCTTAGAGATATATAGACCCTGGGGATCCAGTCGTACCTTCTCAGGTGATTGGAGACACTGTTATGTAGGTTTGGAGGGTCCAAGTACCTTCTAAGAAGGCACTTGGATCCCTAGGGTATAAGTCCAAGTTCTTGGGTTTGTCCCTTCCAATGTCTGTTGGGTTTGGGTTCAGGGTCCGACCCTGCAGGGACTTGGTTCCACATCCCAACGTTCAAGGCCATGGTTCGATCCACCGCAGCTGAAGGGCAGATCCAGCTGTGCAGGAACAGAATCCGAAGATGGATTCCTTCCATTCAATGGACCTTCTGCTTTCCATGGTTTTTTTCACCAAAGCCTTGGGAAAAACCAAGGTACCATGAGGAATCCATGAGGATCTAATATTAACTAGTATAATGTAATGTAGGTCTACGGTCTACAGCACCTGGCAGCCACGATTCCGTCGTGGTGCGTGTCTTGAAAACCCCGGATGTGACCCGTCTCGCGCCAGGTGGTCGAGGAGCCGGGAGTCTCGGAGCTTCGGGAGTTGGGAGTCCCCAACCAGCTACGACCATCGATTCTCCCGCCGGATGGTTTTCACTGGATTGCCGCCAGCCCATCCATGTTTCGAGACCCAACAGAGGTTCTTCAGAACCCGAACTAGGCCGAACTAGGCGATCCCCAGTTCGGTACCCTGGTAGGGTCCTAGTTCCGGTCACTTAACCTCTGTTGGAAGCGAAAGCGGAATCGGGTCGCTTCGTTCCCACGGTTCCCGCGGTTCGACCGGTGAGCGGAACGGCGCGGCAGCCGCGGTTCGTCAACGACATGTCGATGACAGACATCAACTATATACCATGGGCTTGCCCCTATGGGCAAAATCGAGGCTATTTGATCAAAACCTGGTTTCCAGAACAGTGACCCGTAGTCTGAAGGGTCGTTAATGGACACATGCAAAAACCAGGTTTTTGCTGTTCTTGCCCAATACAAGATGTTGGGCTTTTCTATTTTGAAGCCATTTGGCTGAGTAATGATTCAAGACATTAATGAGTTTAATGTGTTTGTTCCCAAATAATCCAAGATGCGTGAGATTCTTTCCAATTGCCTTCCACAGGCATGACTTCCATGCTCAACGGTGTTCCACAGGGACTCCTCAAACTTAGATGGAAGTGAAAAACACCTTAAGGGCTCGGTTTTGGGGCCCTCCGTGTACCACCAGCCGTGCGAGCAGTGCCATGACCACTCGTGCTCTTTTTCTCCGGGAGATCTGCTTCTGGAAGTCAGTCTGGTGCCCCAGCACATCATCCTGGATCGACGCAGGAGTTTGGGGCAAGGGAAAGCTCATTCATCTTATGTATCATGAGCATTTCAGCTACTTTCCCTCAGCTCCCCATTGGACTCAGCCCTTTCAAGATCTTTCAAGTATACATGATCTTTAATACTATTCTTTTAATTGTTTCTTACACCAAATCTCTGTGGCACAATGCTCCAAATGATGTGTGAAGTCCACGTATACATGCGCTGCAGCCTTCTGGGACCTGGGAGCTCAAACACCAATCCGTCCCCAGCTTTGCCTTCAGCAATGCCATTCAAAGACCGAGATGGCAATGATTTGGCGACCTGCTCGGTGGAGGATGTTTACAAGGTGTGGAAGGAAGAGGCCAGCGTACGGATGGTAGCTGTGCGGGCAGACCGGCTTTTCGAACCCTCAGCAGCCAAAACCCCTACTGATCAGCCACGTGGGATTCGGATGAACATCCGGGATACTGTGCACAACATGTATGTGTTGAAACCGCTGTTGGAGAGAATGGTGGAGCACACTCATCATCCTGTCCCCTATGTCAAAGACTTGGCCCGGGAGAAACTCATCTGGAATTGGGAAACGCGTGTGTATATATAGTGACATACGCCAGTATAGCTCTTGAACCTATATATACATGCAAAAAGACACAGGCCATCTGATCCATTTGTATATAGTTTCCGTGTCAGTCCTCCAACATATGTCTACTTGTTTCGATTGCCGATGGGAAAACAAAAACAGTGGTATAGCGCTGACCGCTTTACCATAATTATTTTGCTTAGGTCTTTAGTGCTCCAATGGGGTCTTTATTTGGCCTGTCCCCTCTAAACAATTTGTTTCTTCACTGCCATGCCATGCCCCTGGGCCTCACAAGGATCAAGCTCTTCAGATCCAAGATGAATCTCATCCCGCAGAAGGACAAGGTGAAGCTTGATGCCTGGACAGCAAAATCTATGCTGAGCTTTGTGAAGATGAAAACTCACAAGAACCTGGGATCTCAAATTCATTCACCTGTTTTGTGTTTTTGCACAGCAAGCTTTTTACTTCAGTAAAACCATACACGCAGTTCCTTGGCCCCAAATTTTGTCTGTATATATGAATGCAAGTGAAGGAGAAAATGCCTTTGCATAGCTCGCATATCCCACTCACATGCTTTAACATGCCAACATGGTAAAATTTGAATGGCCAATTCAAAGGGTTTCATATACCGTCCCTTCGTCATGTCAAATTGTTGATGTGCTCCCTTTGTCAAGGACTTGCATTTCCTGAGTCTTCAGCGCATATTGGATCCAACCATCCAGGCCCGTTTTAAATATAGTTGTCAAATTTTCACATTGCACACACAACAATATAAACTCGTGGGGGATTTGCGCACATTCATACTGGATCGACTACAACTTTACTGGTTTGCCAAAGCTTTCTATACCAAAGGCTTTCTTCTATAGAAGCATGAACTTTCATCGAAAGAGTTTGCAAACCCTGCAGCCCTACAACCAATGGAGCCCGGATGGTGCTGAGTCAGAAGGGGATGGGGAGTCGGGATGTGATGGCGATGGGCTGGTCTACGATCCTCAGGATTAAGAACAGGATTCCGATGTGGATGAATGGTTTGACAACTTCCTCAAGAGTTCTTCGAATTTGGGCTCTGAGGCAGATGCCCCAAAGGCTTTGCCAGACAAGGTCGAACCGGATGAATGCACGCGTCCTGTTGCCCGGCCACTTCAGCGGAGCATGACAACAGGTCCATCCAGTGGATCAGATGTGCTTATGATTGAGGAATCCCCTGTCAAGGTTGAGGTGCTGGGCGAGGATGACAAGAATCCATCAAACGACACGAAGGCCAAGAAGGTAGAGCAGATCGCGCAACTCCGAGAGCACCTTAAGACTTTGGAGCTTCAAATGGCCAAAGCCGCGTGGGGTGCTTACTTGTGACACCATGCAGTTCATGTGTGTGTGTGTGTCAACCAAGGGATGTTAATGCACACAATGAATGGGTTCAATCAGTATAGTAGTTCCACGACCTGAATGTGACATCTTGTTTAAAGGGGAATGCAAAGCCATGCAGCTTGAATACATTTCATTTCCCTTATACAGTTGTCATGAAATCATCATGTATATTTTTCATATGTGCCATGGGGTGTGCTTGGATTAAACTATAATGGGATCCTTTTTGAGCAAATATAATTCAAGCTGCATTTGCTCCACAAACAAATCTTGAAGGGTGTTCCTGCATTCCACAGCTTGCCCAGGTCATGCCATGCTGTCATCGCTGCAGATTTGAAGAGCTCTTCAACTTCATCGGTTCTCGTCGATGAATCGCTCCCATATGGTCAAGATTCAGATCCCACTATTCCCATGGATCTGTCCTCTGGTGTAACAGCATCGGTAGAGGGGATGATTGCGAGGGGCGAACAAGCGGATGCTGCTCAACTCCCTGAAGTCGAGACAAAGGATCAGGAGGTCAGGGAGAAGGGTACAACATAGAATCAAGCACGAAAAGCTATCAAATGAGAAAGCATAAGGTATCAAACACTAAATTTAAAGCTTTTTGCAATTTGAGAAGTCCAGTTTCTTGTGTTAAATTAGAGGTTGTATAGCTCTCTGTTTGTTATGTTCTACCGAGCCTGGTGCCAATATATATAGCTCGTTTCTTCATTGAACTTTTCTGAACAAGTTCAACAGTTGATACACAAAGGCATGCCTGTATCATGAAGGGGCCTGCAGCCCTCTAGGTTCTCACTCGTCGACAGCAACTTGGGCAGATTGCTGATTTGAACGAGGAGAAAAAGGAGAATGGTGGGAGAGGTGGCCGTGGACGAGGTCGCGGACGTGGCCGTGGTAGGAAGGCTGAGGAGAAGCTGGCATCCACTCCAGAGAAAAAGGTTCCTTCGAAGAGACCCCCGGTTGAGTCCCAGGCCAACACTCCTGAGAGACGCGAGCTGTTTCCAGACCCTGCTGCTGAGCCTCCTGTGCCTGAGGCAGCTTCTTCCTCAACGAAGCAGCCCAAGAAGAGGGCCAAAGCCAAAGCGCAGGGAAAAGCAAAGGCGAAGGCAGCTCCTTCCCAGCCTGCAGAGCCTGCCCAACCCGAAGCTGAGGCAGGTGGGTCTGCCCCAGAACCGGATGATGGAAAGGTGGCAGCCGATGGAAAGATGGAGCCTGCGCAACGCCTCCCAGGTCAGAGGATCCAGAAGCCTGCTCTCAAGCTTTTGAAGGAGTCCAAGGCTGACCCAGCTGCCTGGTTCCATGTCCAAGAGCTGCACAAGGCTCTGAAATTCCACAAGCTCACTGACAAGAAGGAGGTGCCCAAATATGATTTTTGGAGCCTTAGCATGTATTGGCAAACCAAGAGGGTGGGGCTGCTCCAGAAGCAGGAGTCGGGCTTTGTCCATGTCACGTCCTTCGGGTGCACTTGGTGCAAGAACATTGCGATGTGTGCCCACGCAGCCCGTATGTTTGCCACTTGGCATGCCAGTTGTTTGCCACTTAATTGATTGATATACAAACATGGCCAATCCCACATCTACTCTTCCAGGCTATGACAAACCGCTATAAAGGGGACAACCTGTTTGCAATTGTGTTGGATCAAATCCATCGGGCCTAGATTCAAGGATTCGAAGACAGGTTGAGGGGCCACAAAGGGCTATAGTGTAAGGGTACCTGCACGCGCTATAGTGTTTTTGTGGCCTCTCAACCCCTGCATTTGGAAATTTGATGTTGAAGGAGATTTGATGTTTGAATCGCACATGTTGAAATACTGCGTCGATCTCCTTAGCGCCTGTCTTTGACAGCTTTGATTTTGGTCTGTTTGTTGGTAGACTTATATGTGCTGGCCGAGCTTAAAGTTGAACCTTCCTGGTGTTTCTGTCATCGATCGACTGAGATCAACTTCGTTGGTGGTGACAAACCGGTGGCAAAGTGCAAACCCCTTGATGACGAGGTGGTTGTGGCTTATTTGGACTCCTTGACGGAGCTTGTGAAGGCTGTTGGAATTGCTGATTCCCTCGGCTTGAGTTTGGAGGACATCGAAATTTAAATGGTTGACACTTGAACCAAGCGAGTTCAACATGTTTGTTTGAGATGGACACACATGCGAGGCGTGATACAATGTGTTTACATCTGTTTTATACACCCACTTCAATTTGCAACCAACAGTTTTGAAGTGACCCTGCTCCTTTCAAGCTTGTCGCGTATGTCTCTTGTCCACCAACATTTACAAGGATTTAGGGGGCATGTGGTTAGGAATGGGGAGGCCGTGCCCATAGACAGTCCAAGCTGCATGGGGAGTGGAACAACCAGTCCTCCGCTCTGTGGAATTTAGGAATTGAGTGCGCTGTATATGCGCATAGGTTGCACCTTTGGTTTCGCCGGGCCTAACAATACAACATATGGCTGATTCAATATTGCTGTTTCTGTTAGGGGTATGAGATGCTATAAGGTCTGCAAGGTTGCATTGCGGATGTTGGTTGTTCCAATAATTGTCACACAACAATTGTGCTTCCAGCTTGGCAAGGGGTGTTGGCCATACCCATTACGCCACCGGAACCTGCGGAGAGAAATTGAAAATGGACCCAGCGCTGAATAGAACGATTGCTTCACTTCCTTTGGCTGCTGTTTTGGATTTGTGTCAGCAATGGGATTTCAGGTCTATACATTTGCTTCCCATGGTCTCCAGTCTCCAGGAATCAGATTCCCAAAATTTGCATGCCCTTTCTATAATTGGGTTTGCAGTGTTTGCGGATCGAACAGGAGACCAAACATCCTATGATGCATCCTGCGTCGAGCCGGTCCCGTCAAACCACCTTGCCTCACATTGCCCCGCTTCGAGGTTGGACAATGGTCGCGAAGCGGAAAGCCTGGGAGGTCAGGCTCGAGAATCGCATTGACCCTCGAGAGGGTACACCTGGCTCCTTTGAAGTCGTCTTTGGGTTGGGCAAAACCATGGTTGCACATGGTCACACTCCAAGAGTCGGACTTGTGCATATAGATCATATGTCACGTGCTGCATATACAAGGTCTGTTTAATGTTTTGGGGTCGTAGAAGCCAAACACTTTCCAATCCAAATTAATGTTCAGAGCAAGCGTGGTTGATTCTGAAATCGGTGTCGCCTTGTTTGTCCATAGATTTCTCAAACAGCATTCCAGTATTCCATCTTGGACACAACATTGCAGAATGAACATGTAATCCTGGAGTGTTGCGCAAACAAAGCTTTCCAGTGAGGGTATAGCATTTGGCTCTGTGACTGAAAGTGGTGGGGTTCACTGGCTCCTCAGAGCTCTACTCTATGATGGCCCGGCTCACCCTCCGCGATTTGGTGTGGCGGCTACACTATGTGGGAGCTCCCAAGGCTGGACCTATCCCGAGTTATTTTAGGTGACTGCAACACTCTGCAAATTGAACGTGGGTTGTCTCCGCACTCTTTGCTGTTTGCAGCAATATAATCTCCCAATCATAAATGTCTTGGTGGAAAGAGGCGCATGCAGTCATGCACCTTACAATGTCCCACCCTCGCCCACCATGGCTTGGAGGTGCTGACCTGCATCGTTCTGATGCTGCTGTGGTCTCAGAATGTGGAAACCCTTTCGGAGGCCAGATCCACAGCTGCGCGTTGTGGATCTCATGGTGTTTGTATAGGCGTTTATACATAGTCTGGCTGTGATATTCTTAAGATCTTTCGGATTAGGATCTCACATTAAAAGTGTGTTGATAGAGGTCGTGGCACGCAGTTCAATACAGTGTGTGGCGGAACACTCTATAGACTTCTATGAGCAAAGACATACGAAACTCAACTAGCTGAAGTTCAAAGTCAGGTTTCTATATACCCTTGGAACTTGGAAGCTGTAAACAATTGTCCTCGGAAGTTGGTATGCCTGACACGCCCAATCCGTGACAGGGATTCGACTTCTTGGAGTTCTGGGCCGGCAAGGCTGTCACATCTACGGTGATGAGTCACTCTGGGAGGGATGTTGCTGCTTTGGACATAGACTACTATAGGGTGGATGCCAACAACCCCAAACGATCCAACCACTATGACATATTGACACCATCCGGATTTTTGTTTCTGGCCTGCAAAGAAATGCTCTGATCTTCAGTGCTTTTGAATGTGTTTATCGATGGACTGTTTCTTCCGTAGGGTTTGTACAGGTAGCTTACATGAATGTCTTGTTCAATGTTCACCTATAAGTGTCATTATGGCCAACCTGCATGCATGGATATGCTTTTGTGGGCGTATATAGAATGCATAATTCCACGCAAATCCATATAAAAGTCCGACTTCCGGCCATCCACATGGACCTTTTAGCTATAGCCTAGGCTATGCCTCACGGCTGTGCTCAATGCCAAAAACGGCAGATTCACAGCCCTCATGGCTATTGTGTGTTCATCATGGACGACTATCAACATGGCAACATCCGGGAGGCATGTCGTGCACCCTCTTGGGAATGATCGAGAGTATGTACAACAAGCAAATGCTATGGCAGGGCGGAAGATTAGCTGAATCGGTGAAAGGCTTTGCAAGGGTGTCCCTTCCTATCCGTCGAATACCCCTTTGTACAAATATTCCCTTTTGTAATTTTGAGTGGGAAGCATACCATTTGGTACTTTTGACCATGCGTGATCATGCTTGCACGGTCTGTTATACATGGTCTTTGGGCCCGATATTCACAAACCTGATTCCTCGTCCGTGGTCCCCGACTGCGCCTCGATGCTGAGGATGTGCCTCCTCATTTACTTGGTGGAGGTGATGGGCGGATGCTGGCTGGTTGAGCAGCCCTCAAATTCATTACTACGCTTCCACCCAAGAGTCATGTGGACCTTTAGCATCTTCCGAGCACCTTTGCCAACAGTATGGGGTGGAGTCTGACTATAGCGCATGGACTTGTTTTGCCGTTTCAATCTGGGAATTAGACCAAATCTGCATGTTAACCTTTTTAGAAAGCGTTAATCTGGACATCCTCAGGCATGGAGTACCCGATGGTGGATGGGACACTACGGTGCGAAAACTCCCAAACGCCATGTTGCTTGGAGCAGTAGTCCCAAAGTGGGATTGCTGAACCGGGGAAAGCTCAGCTGGGCATCGATGCGTGGCCGGGATTACGACAAGCACAAGACTGCGGTGACTGGGGTGTCCAAGTCTGGAAAGAAGACTTTTCAGGGTCGCAAGCAGCAGCTCAAAGCTTCCCAGTGGCTTAGCTCTAATGAACGGTGGGTTTTCCAAGGCTGCTATACAAACGAACCTTGCTGTTACAAGGGATTGTAGACGCGGGTGTGTGAGTTCATATTTCAAGCTATAGGATCGAGTTTTGACATGCCCGAACAAACATAAACTCAAATTGCCATGCCCCATGCTTTATGGACTGAGGAAGGGCCTGAACATGTGAAGCATCTGTTGATAACCACCACCGCAACCACAACCACTAGTGGTAAAACTGTTTCGCGGTACAGCCACAGTGGGGAATACAATCCAACACATATTGGAGGACATTAACTGTTTGCTCATAGGTTTGGGGCATATGGTTTTAGTTCTACTGCCAACTCTTACATCATATATAAATGATACAATTATAAGTATATACAAAAGCCGGCAAGGGGGTCAGAAATATGACAGGGATTGTGAAATATATACATGACCAAATTGGCAAACGGCTGTGCTCTGCCATGTATCGGTGGTTGGACGGTTGGACATGGAGGAAGTCAAAACCCATCCACTGCAGCCATTCTGAAATTTCCAATTGGTTTGAAAAGCCTGTGCATGCTGGTGATTGGTCAGCTGTGTTGCAGATTTTGATCCAAGGACGTACCCGTACAAGTTTGGATTGCGCATCCTTCGCATTGTGAATGACCTCCAAAGCACTGGGTGCAGGACATTCCCACCGGTTCCCGAGTCCTTTAACCCTTTGGCTTGTTACCAAGAACAAGCATTTACAGATCTTTGGGTTGATTGTGGCATGGACGAATGCCTCAAGTACTTGTATGGCAATCGTCATTTGAAAGTGCCACCTGAATGGAAACCACTTTTGCTTCCAACAAATTCTTAAGGAAATTGAATGCGCCGCGCCGTCTCCTCCATGACTCGCTGTAGGACCATGGTATGTCACCTGCAATTCGCTGCAAGACAGATTTTGTCCAGATCTTCAAAAACCAGGTTTTTGGGCGTAGGGAACCCGTAAAAAAATCCGTAGCCGTAGATAACCCATAATTTGCCCGTGGATGACCCATAAAAATCCGTAGAAAATTACGTAGTTTTCCCGTAGGGCAAGGTACCTCCCTATAAGGCCTTTTGGTTTGGAATTGGTCTGTTTCTATAATGCTCAACTTGCCCACGCCCGATGCCTGGTTTGGAAATTCACTCGGATTTACAACTCCTCATTGGTGGTTTGAAGAAATAGTGCGACTCTGTTTGATCAAGTGACAAGTGTCATGCTCCTGACTTGCATGTGCGCAGGATTGAGGCCAGTTTTTGTGAGAGTCTCCCTCGTCCTTGCCGATTTGTAGTGACCAAGATTTGAAAGTGTGTTGGGATTAGCCCTTGTGTCAATATGCCCCATCCATTGAAATCTAACATGTGGAGCTGTGAATCTTTGGCGGCGGGTAACAACAACCTGCTGAAGATCAAGGAAGAGGTGGCCAAGCAACGGGCCCAACTGGAGGCACACGCTCATGATGGGGCTGGTTTGTTGAGTGTCCATGCAACCAGGTTCCTTTGCTGTTGGGTGTCTTCAGGTCTTTCCAGCATCCACTTCCATGTGTTGGGATTACATGGTGGGTGTCTCTGCAGTGCCACCAGGCCATGGAAAAAGATCTTGCGCACATGGAGTCGCAGGAGCATGCCACTTGATCCATCACATTTAAATAAACTATCAGTGTGGTGTACGGGCAAGAAGGGGGCCCCATGAGTACCATCAATGTTTTATGATATGTGAAAGCTGGTTGCAAGATAGGTCCAACACTTGTATATGGCATCCAGTGTGTGCGCATGTGTATATGCATCCTCTCAGGTTGCACAGCCTGTTGAGACGCCCATGGCTTTTGAAGAGGACACCGTCCCCGTTGCTTCGTATAGAACGTGGAGCCCAACCCACAAACAAGTATTGTGGCGCATCTAGAGCTTTTGCAATGGTGCCCTCCACCCAACAAGTCCTGCCGGCTGAGGCTACAGAAGCCCAGATGCAGGAGGCTGCGAACAAACGACCCCCGCCGCCTTCGACCAAAACAACTCCAGTCAAAAGCCTGGCAACTGTCAAGAAAGCGCGCCAGGCGATTGATGGGTG